GATGGATGGATGGATGGATGGATGGATGGATGGATGGATGGATGGATGGATGGATGGATGGATAGTTTTATTTTTTTGTCTTCTCAATTCAAAGGGGCCCCTCTCTTTCTTTGCCTGGGGCCCAAATTCTCCTAAATCTGCTGCTTCTGAAGGTCGTCGTTCACATAGTTGTTTATTTAAGGGTACCTGACACTGAAATACGGCATTCTGCCAATTTTCCTCCTTTAAACTTAAAATTGCTGTATTGAAAAATGTGCATTACAGCACCTGGTTATTAAAAGCCTAGATTGTTGAATGCATATTGACTGTTGACTGAGAATACATGGAGGTCGAGGAGGATCCTGTGACCTTACATAATCTCAGATATCTAAAAAACAAGATAAATCAAATCTCTCAAGAACAGCGGAATTATAAAATAATTTTTTTTATTGTAGCCTATAAATAGAAGTTAAAATTTAACCCTTTATAGGGGAAGTTACAGTTTTTGATCACTTGCATATCCCTTAGAAATGGAGTCCCTCAGTGAGGTCTAGAAACACAAGATCTATTTCAAGCCATTCAGCAAAGATCCTGCTACATGAGCCCTTGAATGATATATTACCTGCTGGAAATTAAGAAAAAAAAGTAAAAAAGAGAAAAAGCTAATTGAAAAGTTAAAAAGTAAAGTTCAAAAGTTAATAAGCCTTGTTAACAATTATATTTAGGTTTATAAACTAAAAAATGTCAGTTCCAGTATCAGCTTTAATGCCTCTAAGGTTATGTTGCACCAAAAAAAATGTGTCTTCACTCTCAGAGTGTTTTTAATGAATTCCATATAGAAGCATTTTTATTTTCTTAATATATTTGTGCAAGTTGGCGTTTTTTATTACATCAACATAGATTTTTGCCATTAAAATATCCATATATTTTGAATGTTACAAAGGTCTTGTCCTTGATTCCAATAACAATTTCAAGCCAATAACAAAATATTGGCTTGAAATTTTGCAAATGCAAAAAACAGCAATAAGAATCATTCACAAAGCTGGACTTCAGGATCATACAAACACATTATTTCTAAAATCTAAAATGCTAAAATACCAGGACTTGATAGAATACCAAATTGGAGTATTCATGTTCAAAGTAAGACGTAGCCTATTGGGAATATTCAAAAGATGTTCTCTGAAAGGGAGGGAGGGTACGATTTAAGGGGAAGACTAATAGATGTAGAACAACAATAAAAAGATTGTTTATCAGTTTGCGGAGTTAAGTTGTGGAACTAACTAAATGAGAACCTAAAGCAATGCTCAAACATATTCCTTTATTTTCAAAAGGTATAGAGAAGCATTGTAGAAAGTTTTGTTTGTGTTTTTCTTTTTTTGTTTATTTGTATATATGTATGAAGGTATATGTGTATACACTCACCGGCCACTTTATTAGGTACACCTGTCCAACTGCTCGTTAACACTTAATTTCTAAGCAGCCAATCAC